CTGAGGCGCGAGCCCCAGGAGAGAGAGAGAGAGAGAGAGAGAGAGAGAGAGAGAGAGAGAGAGAGAGAGAGAGAGAGGAGAGGGAGGGAGAGAGAGAGAGAGAGAGAGAGAGAGAGAGAGAGAGAGAGAGTGGCGGCGTCCTAGTAGTGCTCTGCCTGTAGCTCATTCCCTGGCGACCTCGCGGCGCGGAATCGCCCGGGGGGCGGAGGCGCCGACGGCGGCCTTCGGCTTCGATTTCAGCGGCCGCAGAGGGGCAGCGCGGGCCGGGCCCGCGACGGCGCGCCCAGACATGTGTTCACGCGTGGACGCCAGCGGCAAAATCGCCGGGTGCCGAGGCAAAGGGGTCCTTGCCACGGCCAACATTACGTCGCGCGGGTCGTTGGGTAATTGTCTGGCGCCCAAACTTGGACATGCAGTGTTGGGCACTCAAGAGCATCGCGTCACGGTCGACGGGCTGGACCGAGCGCAGTCGAGGCTCCGCGACCCCGGGCGCCGCGGCATATGGGCGCCAGCGCTGGCCACAGGCAATGGCGACGGCAATTGGAGGTGTGGCGGTTGTCTGTAGGAACAACCTGTCGATTGCGAGCCCGCCTGGAGTTGCGCCCCCCCCCGTTCCAGGAGGTGATGGGTTCAGCGCAGCGCGCGCATGCATCGTTTTCACATCTATCCACTCGCGGCCAAGTGCGGGGCGCAGCCCAGAGAACGAGGCCACCTTGAGCATGCCATTTCAGCGCGTCCACGCCATCAAGTACCCAGGCATGGACTGGGTGGCGCTGGGGGGGTCCAATCTGTCGGCGGAAGAGCGCGGAGCGGACTGGGCCCATTCACTGGGTCGCGTTGTCGCGAGTGCGACGGCCGCCGCGCGCAGGCAAGGCGAAGAGAGTTCGCCATTGATTTCGCCTTCGTTGCAGCGAGCCTGGCCACCAGGCTAGGGGTACCAGGGGCAGGCATGCAGGAGCGGCCCCGCGGCGCCCCGTCGCGCTCCGGCCCATGGTGGAGGGCGTTGGCCCCGCGCTGTGCCGAGCGCCAAGTGGGGCCCAAGGCCATCGGCGCGACGCGGCCGATAGGGCGCGGGCGGCCGCCGAGGGATTGGCAGAGGGCGCAGCTGCTCATCCGCGGCGCAGTCGACCAGGGCATCTTGCAGGTAGGTTGGGGCCGATGCGTTGCAAGAGTCGGGGAAAAAGTTGCTCGATCGATGGGGCGTCGTCGGCGCGCATCGGAAGTGTCGCTTGGGGGGGGGGGGGGGGGGCAGGCGAGTTGCAGACCAAGCGGGTGGCTCGGCAGTGGAAGCTGCCGCGCGTCCGACTGCAGCAGAGCGACGGTGCCCGCGCGTGGAACATCGTTGCTAGGCGGGCCGCGCATTTGTTCTTCATGCGAAGCCTGCTGCAGCTGCAGCCAAAGATCCAGCTGCTCCATTCGTTCAATGATGCTGGCGACTTGTCTGGTCCACTGTGCGACGCGGTGCTGGCATCTTCCGTTGAGGTGTATTTTTGTTGTGCGCAGGCCCAAGGGGGGCCGCGCTCAAGCGGCTGCCCGCATGGGCGCAAACGCGTTTATGCCCAGGCCTGGCGGCGTTCAGTTTCGCTGAGTTCGACGCCGAGCCCAGCTCCCATCTGACCCAGAGCCGCGAGCAGATGAATTCATTTGGACCCGAGTGCACGGAACACGCGATGGATGCAGTAGGCACAGCAGGCATTCGTCGTAAGTGGCGCGGGCGAGGCGCGCAGACGGCCAAGTTTGTGGCGTCGCTGGAAGCTGTTAAGCTACACCGCAGGGAGCTAGACCGCCCTTGCCAATTGGCGGAGCGGGAGCTGGAGATTGTGAAGCAGGCTTGGATTTGCCACGATGTTGACCCGCCTCTGCTTCCGCCCGACAGCGACAGCCAGGGGGAGTTGTTCGAAGTGACAGGGCCTGCGCCGCGCAGGGCAGCTGCTTCCGTCAGCGCGCGTACGGCGTCAGGCCCAACGCGCCTCGCCCGGCGCGCAGTTTGCCAGCGCCCGCACGAGGGTCTAGACACGGTCGCAGCATTGTCCAACAAGTGCGATGCATTATCACGTGGCCTGGCGGTGGACACCAATGGGCTCGTGCGCCCGCCCGCTGAGAGTGGAGGATCCTGACGCGCCGCCTCGGCGCGTTCGCTGCTGCGGCCATGGGCGAGTTTGCGGGCCCCGCTCCGCCGCTTCCGCGGCTCTGGCTCAAGACAGCCGGCGTCCCAGACATATGGGGCAGGGAGTGGGTGTCAGGGGGGGCCCTCGTCGGCATCGGCCATCTCGCGCAACGTTGGGGCTCGGATCTGGGCCCTTCCGGGCGAGAAGTTCATCGCGGCCGCTCCAGATGCGCGCGAGTTCTTCGAGCGCGTGAACCCGCGCGCATTCGGGGCGGCGCGGGGGGCGCGTTCGCAGGTTGCTCGCGCGCTTGACCACGCTGCTCACGTTGTTCGGGAGCAGGGGGGCCAGGAGGTTGGCTCTCCACAGCGCGAGGCCCCGTGTACTGATGAACGACTTTACGAGTCAGTGGATTGGTGGCAGCATGTCAAAATAGGGCAAGCTCTTCGAAGCAGGTGGAGAATCCGCGGGGCATGCGGGTGGCTCGGGACTGGATCCCCATATCGAAAAGTCCTGTGTCTCGGCCGCCCGTCCGAAGGCCGGTCGCTACGTCGACCGCCCTGTTAAGGAGTTGGGTATTCCAATCCAGTCATCCACGAGAAATTTTGGCCACGAGTTGTTGAGGACTGGCTGGCGCCAGCACCTGGCCAAGGCGAGGTTCGCGAATTTGAAAAAAGAGATTCGCCAGGGCTCGGGGCCTCATGGGGGCCGCCGGCACCGATGCCTCGGAGATCTGGACGTCTGGGATCCTGAGCGCGGCCGACCACTGTGCCGCGGCGAGGGGGCCCCCCGATGAGGGCCCCGTGCCTTCGGGCAGGCTGCGGGGGCCCTCTTGGCTCGCGGCTTATTTGGCCATCCAAATGGGGCCCCTTTTCATGATCCAATTTACGATGCCACGCTTGCGCCAGTAGTCGCGCGTGAGGAGGTTGGGCCACCATCGGCCCGGGCAGATTTGCGCGGGCCTGTAGGGCCTTGGAGCAATGTTCGTGGTCGGCAAAGCCGCCTGGGCACAGGCCAGAGAGCCTCACTCGGCGGTTTGGGTGTCACTCGCTAGGGTCCATGTGATCATGCGGTCATCGGTGATGCTGGAACTGGAAGATGACCGTGGCCAGGTTTTTCTTGCTCGCTGTTTCTCCATCCGAGGTCCAAGAGCCAGTTGGGGCCGACGTTCAGCGGTGGCAGTGCAAGCGGCTGCTCGAACGCCGCGAGAATATGTTGCGGGATCTTGGCATGTGGTCCTATGGCCCGAGACTTTGCGTCGGCGGCCTGTCGGCGGCCGCGAGGCAGACCGCCCGCGCCGGTGCTTTGAGAGCCTTGCGGGGTGGAGGCATATCGAGCCAGCTGCGACCCAGTGCCGTCTTCGACGCGTGACATCTGCGGCGAGGAGCCAAGGACATATGCGCGCGCGTTTTTCGCAGTCGCCCGCTCAGGGCCATCTGGAGGGCGGGGGCCGAGGAGCTATGGCGGCACAGCTGTTGGCAATGCGTGGCGGGTGCGCTGACGAAGGCCCGATTGGCCACTGGGGGGGCCCACGTGGACAATTTCGCCATGTGTGTTCGGCGCGCCCCAGGGGTGATTGGGGTTCCGACGGGTCTCTGTGGGGCACGACGGTTTTCGATGACGGGCTTGGTCCACGGGCAGCAACCCGACTCTGCGTGGATGTGGGCGGGCCTTTGTTTGGTTGTCCGACGGCGGGGCCCCGTTCCACGCCGCGTTTGGAGGTCTCCTCGGGCACCGGAGGCAGTCCGTCGGCAATGCTGAGAGATGGGCCCCTTTCAGCGCTGGGCAGCTGCGCGATGAGGTGGAGCTCGCAGCGTCTGACCTAGCTGCCCTGGCGGTCGAGGGGTCGCGGACTGGGCAGCCACAGTTGTCACGGCCATGGCAAAGCACGCAGTCGTCTGGCGTAATTGTTGACGCTTCGCGTATCCCCACCAGCCCATCCAGAAACGATGCTCAGGGGAGTTGAGGTGATCAGGGAAGTCGGGGAGCATGCAGAATAACAAAGGGCGGGGGAAGCTGTCACAGACCCCGAGAGGGGGAGGATGGAAGAGGAGTCGTCGTCGTCGTCGTCGTCGGAGGAGGAGGAGGAGGAGGAGGGGGAAGAGGAGGAGGAGGAGGAGGAGGAGGAGGACGGAGAAGGAGGAAGAATCGGAGGAGGAGGAGGAGGAGGGGAAGGAGCTTCTTGGGGGTCTTTTGAGGGCCTCTTGGAGGGCTTTTTGGGCGCCTTGGGGCATCTTGGGCGCCTCTTGGGACCCTCTTGAGGCGCTCTGGGGAGCCTTCGGGGCGCTTTTGGGGCCATCTTGGAGGGAGTCGATCAAACAAGAGGGGGGGTTTAATTAGCGTCCCCCCTCGGAAGCCCCTAAAATCGCCTCTTGGACCCCTCTTGGAACGCTCTTGGAGTGCTCTTGGGCGCTCTTGGGGCCGTCTTGGGGCTCTTTTGGGGCTCTCTTGGGGCCCTCTTGGGCCATCTTGGAGCCATCTCCAGGCCTCGGATGGCCATCGGAAGCGAAAAGGCGAGAAAGCAAAAATCATTGATTTTCCTTAGGTTTTGGGACGATTTTGGCCTCTTCGGGGCCTCCTTGGGGAGCTGTTTGGCCACTTGGAGTTATCTTGGGGCCGTCTTTGGGCTTCTTGGAACCATCTTAGGAGCCATCGTGAGCGATCTTGCGCTATCTTGAGCCATCTTGGAGCTCATCTTGGGTTCTCTGAGGCGCTCTTGGAGCCGTCTTGGGCCATCTTGGACGCTCTAACTACCCGCGGCCCCCCCCGTCCAGGTCCAGGGGAGGGGGTAGGGGGAGGGGTAAACCCCTCCCCAAGGGGGAAGAGGGAGGGGTGGAAGAGGATCTGCTCTAGACCACCTACGCCCAGAGGGCTGGTGGGATTTTTCGCGTTGGTGGAGAAGCAGGGCCGTGCGCCGCTGTCCTTCGCTTGGGTGCCTTCGCGTTTGGATCTCGAAGATGCGCTCATGCAGGAGCGGGCGTTCTTCTTTTTGGTCCCGGGGAACGCCTGGGCCGACGCGTTCTTTCTGTTACGTTGCGATTTCCGTTGCAAGAAATGTATCACTCAAGTCCTGTGATAAGGTGTTCACGAGTCGGGCCATGCAGTGCAGCCAGTCAGAATATCACGAGTACGCGTCCGAGTTGGAGTCTGCGAGCATTTCGAGCGATGATATCGCCCCGCCCGATAAAACGTACTCGTCCTTGTTCAGAGCGTTGCTCTCCCTGACGGGGCAGAGTCGCCAGTGCCTCCGCCGCTCCCTCCCCCGCCCGAACTTGCCCCTGTGTCGGACATCGTTGGGCGTCTTGGGCATGGAGGTGCAGCTCGCTGGGAGGCCCTTTGCTGCGGGCTGTGCGGCGCGCGTCAAGTTTCGGGTGGCAGCGCCAAGAGCATCGCCCAATTGCACATGCAGTTCTCAATCCCTTTCCGGTGTCGCGGGTTGGTTGATCAGGAGGAGGCTCGTGGAAACATTTCAAATGGTCGCCAGGAGGCCCTGTCCTCACCCTCGTCCTCGTCCGTGCCCCCGTCCCTGCCCGATCTGGTTTTCGCCTGCGCTCGCAGGATTGCTGCCCCAGCCACAACGCTGTGGAGTCGTTCCGCTTCGCGCAGCTGGTCGCGAACAAGGCCACCTCCCACTCCCACTTTTTGCTTTGGTGGAGGAGCGAGGTTTGAGGATCGCAGGTTTCGGCCGTGTGCTGTTTTGATTGCGCGCTCCGAGGCCTCCAGGGAGTTCCCAGGGCCTCGGGAGAAGGGGGAGGAGGAAATGTGAAGGCGTAGGAGTTGGAGGAGGGGGATGGGAATGTGAAGAGGGAGGGGCAGAGGGACGACGATGACTGGGCGCGGAGCGGCGGCATGCCGCGCGGCGGAACGGGGGGCGTCGCTTCGGAGCGCCGCTTAGACTGGAGCGACAGCTGGCGGACTGCTCCCGGCACGGGCGGCGGGCACCCAGGAGGAGGGCTGCGTCCTCCTCGCGCTCGCCGCCGCTCTCCGGGCCCCGGCCAGCGCGTCGCTTCCACTCTGTGGATGGCTGCGAAAGCCCGCGTGCAACTGGAACCTATTCATAGAGTTGTGGGACCGCCTTCGGTTCGGAGGGATGGGCAAGGGATGGACAAGGGAACGAGAGACACTTGATGACGAAGAAGGGTAGGAGTGGGACGATAATGAGGATGAGGATGAGGATGATGAGGATGAGGGTGAGGGTGAGGGTGAGGGTGAGGATGAGGATGATAATGAGGATGATTAATGATGCTGCTGATGCTGATGGTGATGATAATGCTGCTGATGATGAAGCTGAAGAAGAAGGAGGCAATACTGATGCTGATGATGGTGGCGGTGATGATGATAATGATGGTGATGCTGATGCTGATGCTGTTGCTGATTCTGATGACGATGGTGATGATGCTGATAATGATACTGATGATGATGCTGATGATGATGGTGATGATGCGCCTTCAGGTTGTGGTGGTGGATTATGCTTAAGATGTTGATGGTGGTGAGGATGATGCTGATGATGAGGATGACGATTATGACTATGATGAAGTTGACGGTGATGCTGATACTGATGATGATCATGATGATGTTGGTGCTGATGATGATGCTGATGATGATGATGATTTTGATGATGATGCTGATGATGATAATGCTGATTGTGGGGGTACTGCTGCTGCTGAGGATGGTGATGCTGCTGGTCATGATGATGCTGATGATGGTGCTGAAGGCAAATATCAATATACCTATGCAGACGGCGAGTACGATGACGATGCTGATGATGATGATGATGATGATGATGACGATGATGATGATACTGATAGTTATGACGCCGATGACGATATTGGTAACGTTGATGATGATGCCGATGATCTTGCTGATGATTATGCTGCTGATATTGATGATGATGAGGATGTCGATGGAGTTGGTGGTGGTTTGATATGATGATGATGATGGTGGTGGTGGTGATGATGATGCTGCTGAGGATGATTATGATGCTGATGATGACGAGGATAAGGATCAGGATCATAATGAGGGTGATGATGCTGATGATGATGAGGATGAGGAGGATGATGCTGAGGATGATGATGCTGATGATGACGATGATGCTGATGATGCTGATGTTGCTGATGATGCTGCTGATCATGATGCTGCTGATGATGATTATGATGATGATGATGATGATGATGATGCTGATGATGATGATGATGCTGATCACATGTATGATGCTGATGCTGATGCTGATGATGATGATGCTGATGATGATGATGCTGATGAAGATGAATATGAAGATGAATATGTTGCTGCTGCTGCTTCCGCTGCTTCTGCTGCTGCATGTTGATGATGCTCATAAACGTGGATCATGATGAGGATGGGAATGAGGATGAGGAGGATGAGGAGGAGTAGAAAGAGGGTGAGGAGGAGGACGAGAAGGAGGAGGATGTATGGGGATGAGGATGAGGAGGCGAAGGAAGAGGAGGAGGAGGAGGAGGAGGAGGAGGAGGAAGAGGAACAGGAGAAGGAGTAGGAGCAGCTGGATGGAAAGAGGAGGAGGAGGAGGAGGAGGAGGAGGAGGAGGAGGAGGGGGAGGATACGGAAGAGGACAACGAAACGACGACAAGGAGGCAGCCGCAGAGCAGGAGGAGGTGTTGGCTCGGTGCCCGCCGGGTGGCGGATCCTTCTCCGCCGCGGGCCGAGACAGTCCTCGCCGTCGTCGCCGCCGCCGTCGCAGCCGCCGTCGCCGTTGTCGCCGTCCGGCACCTGGGCGGCCGCCGTGTCACAGGAGCCCGGCCGCGCGGCGTCTGCGCGGCCAGGCGGCGGCAGGCGGCGCCGTCAGCATCGCCATCGCCAGCGCTGCCCGTGAGAGGGGCGGGGTGGGTCGGTTCGGGGACGGGCTGGCCCGGGTCAGCGCCAATCGCCAACCCAGGTTTCCCAGTGCTCGGTACCATGCCCGGGATTCAGGCCCGCCGCGAAGTAAGCACCTCTCAAGGAACGCTGGGGGATGGTCTGGGTATTGGGCCTCATTTCCCAGACCTGGTCTGGACCTCGGGAGCACTTCGGGAAGATGCGGCGCCGAAGGAGGACGGTGCCCTGGCCAAGGTGCGGGCGTGCACCCCGTTCGGACGTGGTGCCTGCCAACCTCCCTCTGGGCCCTGGCGAGGCCTGCATCATCTCAGCGGAGTGCCTCCCCGCCGAGATGGAGGAGTGGGAGGGCATCGTCCACTTCGTGGACGTCGCTGGCACGCGCCAGATGGTGCAGGAGGCACCCGTGGGGGGGCGCAGCATGCTGCTACCGCGGCCCGTGTGGCCCCCTACCTGGCAGATTTGTAGATGCGTCCTAGTAGGGCCTGGCTGGGCCTCCAGTTCCATCGGGGACATGTGGGGACCTCTGGGAACTTCCGATTGCTTCGGGAGGCCAGCAGGATGAGGATGAGGAGGAGCAGGAGGAATAGGAAAGGAGGAGGAATGGGACGAAGGAGAAAGGGGACGGCGAGGCGAAGGAGTGAGAGAGGAGGAAGGAGGACAGCTCGAGGAGTGGAGGGGAAAGGTGCGTGGGGGTGAGGGAAATGTGGGGGAGGACCCGCTGAGGCAGTTTCGCGTGTTCCAGCGGGGGGAGGTGCAGTCGCGTCCCGCGATCGACGCGCAGTTCGATCTCGATTGCGGTCCACGGGTGCGTAAGCACCGACTAGGTGAGTTGGCAAGAATAACGTAGCCCATCGTAGTTCGAAGGCAGTGGAATATCAACCAAGTCAGTCACGACCGCGTCCAAGCTTGTCGCAATTCTCCTGCACATTTCCTCTTCTTTCCCCCTGTCCTCTCCTGCCCCCCCTGCACCTGCTCCTATTCCGCCCTATCCCTGTCACTGCCTGTATTTTCCTCCCCTGTCCTCTCCTATCCCCCCGTGCCCCGTTCCCCCTTCCTCCTCCCCTACCTCTCCCCTCTGCCTGCCCGTATCCTCCTCGTGTATTATCTTGCCACCGCCCCTGTCCGAACCTGCCCCATCCCCCTATTGGGTAGCAAGCCACGGGGGCCTTGTACGCCCTCGAGATTCAAATAGAGTGCATTCGCGTCGAACCGTGTCTGGTAATCGATGCAATCGCGTCGATGGCATCTGGAAGGCCCCCATGAGCTGGCACCGAGCCTTCCCCGTCATTCCAGCCCTCACCCACGGCCGACCGCCCTGCCCTGGGTGTGCGGGGCACGCCCTCTTGGCTGGGGAGATCTCGAGGAGGAGGAGGTTGGGAAGAGGGTGGGAGGGAGGGAAAGCGGGAGGGATGGAGACAGGGAAGGAGGGAGGGAGGGAGGGATGGAGGAGGAGGAGGAGGAGGGAAGAGGTGAGGAAAGATGAGGAGGAATCACCCAGCTGTTGCCCGCCCCCGCTTCCGCCCGTCGGCGTTCTGACGCGAAGGTCCAGAAGGACGTCCAGAAATGCCAGACCAACAGTTACGCCCTGTTCAAAGAGAGATTCGCCCCCGCGAGGCTTCTCAACAGAACAGGCGTCCCTCCTATTCGTCCATTATCATCTTCCTCTCCGTCCCTCAGCCTCTCTTCGTCCCTGTCCCTCTGCGGTGATCTCTATCTCAGGCTGCCCGTCCAACTGCTTGTCGGCCTACCTACCGGCCAGCCAACCTTGAACGCTAACCAATTCCCTTGCGCGTGCTGATCGGAATTCGCATATAAATGTCGAATGTTTTCAATATGTTTGTACGCTCTACGCCTCATCATCCACCCCTCTTCTTTACTGTGAAGAACTCGTCGTCGCTACACCAGCCATGTCGGTTGGGCGGATCGTGCGTTTCGTTTTAGCCTTCCCCACCATTCACGACCCTGGGAATTTTGCAGTAAGGATAGTCTGCGGACGGTGTTAAACTGTGGCTGTAGCCATTGGAGGGAGAGAGCGATCTATCGTCGCATGGTTGCTCCCCCCCCTCTGGGAACCCTGGGGTGGGGGGAAGGTCCAGGAGTAGGAGAAATCACAACCAAGTAGGACGGATTCCAACCATTTTGTTCCCAATCCCAACCAATTGGTACCAAGTACAGCTCGCTAGAAGCTCTTCAATGTGTAATTGGGTTTTAGATGCTGCGTACAAGGGATCCTATTGTAGACCCAATGGCTTAATGTAAGTGGTAGCAGTTGCTTTTCTGGCCGGTTGAGAAGTGGCCAGATCGGTTGGGATTGGTCCGACATGCGGGACGGTCCCCTCCCTCCCAGGAAACCCAGGGGGGGGGAAAGGGGAGTTGAGCTTTCCCCCGACCCAGAAACCGGGGTTGGGCAGGGGTGCAGAACCCCCCCCCCGTTCGAGCCGAATGGCGGTGGTGGTGGTGGTTGAGACACTCCCCTCCCTTTCCGGAATTCGAGCAGGAATTCAAACAGGAAGGGGCGGCGGGAGGAGGAGGGCGGGGGCTGCTCCCGACGACGCGGATGACGACGACGACGCCGTCGCCGACGAGCAGCGGGTAAACCCACGATAGGACCGAGGAATGTTCATGACACCGACGATGCGGATCGGTCGGGCAGGACACTAAATGGAACATGACAGCTCCGACGCCGACAGCAACAGCAACAACACCAACACAAACGACGACGACGACGAGCGTTCTAGGGCTGGATCAGCTCTATTGGAATCCTGAAGGATTGGGTCCAGGATTGATAGAATCCTACACGTGCTCGATCCAGGTCTACTAGAGCCCTGATAGGGCTGGGGTCATCTGTAATGGGATCTTACGTAGAGCTCGATCCAGCTCTAATCGAATCCTGCTATCGCGGCTGGGTCCAGCTCTAATAGAATCTCACTCGGGCCGGATCAAACTCTCATGGGCTCATACAACGGCTCAGCCCAGTTCTCATAGAATCCTACTAGGGCTGGGTCCACCTACACTGGAATCCCAGAAAGGGTTCGGTCCAGGTCTAGTCGGTGCCTGATAGGAAGGCTGGGTCCAGCAATAATGCAAACCTACGGGGGCGCTGTCCAATCTTGATGGAATCCTACGAGCGTCTGAATCGAGCTCCAATAGAATTTCGCCTTGGCTCGATCCAAGTCTAGGATCCTACTATGGTTCGGCTGCAGCTCTTGTAGAATCCCATGATGGCTCGATCCAGATTAAGACCAGCTTACTGAGGCTCGGTCCATCTTAGAATGCACCCGACTAGCGCTCAGTCGTCGTAGTCGTCGTCGTAGTCGTCGTCATCATCGTCTTCGTGATCGTCGTCGTCGGCGTCGTGATCGTCGTGGTCGTCGCCAAAGTGGATTCCAGTGGCGCTCAGTTGTCGTCGTCGTCAACGTAGACGTCGACGTCGACGTCGATGTCGTGGTCGTCGTCGTCTTCGTCGTCGTCGTCGCCGTGGTGGCCGTGATCGTGGTCGTGGTGGTTGTCGTCCTCGTCGCCGTCGCTGTTGTCGTCGTCGCAGTCGTCGTCGCCCTTGGCGCCCCCACCCCTCCTTGGGTTCGAAGCAGGGGGCCCGCGCTGGTCTGAACCCCCGGGGGCCGGGGGGGGGGATGCATCTGACCCCCCCCGTTCGAACCCGGGGGTGTGCATCCCCCCCCAGTTCGGAATCGGAGGCTGTTTTACACCCCCGCGCCGGTTCGAACCGTGGTGTGGGGGGGGGCTCGCCAGTAGCGGCAGAAAACGCTGTTTCCCCCATTTCGTCTCGCCCACCAGTCCCAAAAGTTTTAAGACGTTACAAGGATGGACGGGTGGTATTCAATATGTGGTTCTCTGTTTCGCGCCGTGCATCTCTGTTTCAACCACTCCCGACAGCGACTATGATGGAAGTTGGGTGGTTCGGAGCATGTGGTTCTCGCTTTGCTACGCGCACGTACGTTCTCTCGCCTTGGCGCCGCGCGCATCCGTTTCGAAGTCTTCACGCTTCGCGTACCACCACAGTATGGGTGCCTACGCCCCTGCACTTAATTCACTCACAGCTCGCAGACTCTGGCCGTCGACCACCCTGGCAGCAAGCCGCGTTGCATGCGTGCACCCTGGCAGTGCAGCTTCCCAGCAGTTGCCGTCAGCCCCCTTCCACTCGCCGGCCTGGCCGCCGAGGTGCCGCGTGAGGCTTCGGCCCACCGCTTTAGGTTAATTCGTCTTTGCGCGGCCCGCTCTGACTGGACTCGCCGCTGGCGCTCTCGCCTTCGGCCGCTGACTAAAAGTACCACCACAGTATCACCATTGGCCCATCCAGGAATAATGCCCAGGGGAGTGGCATACTCGCGTTGCGTCGGAGGGTTCCATAGGGCCAGAGGCCCTATTAGATGCCTCCATGGGTCATTTGGGGTGTCCCTTGGAAGCCTCTTAGAGACCTCTGGGGTGTCTTGGGGGGCTCTTGGGGCGTCTTGTGGGCCGAGGGTCTCTTGGGCGCCTCGTGGGGACCTCTTGGGCTGGGGGCCATCCTCGGCTTGGATGTTCTTTTTGTTGGCAGTTTTGGGCGCGCCTTGGAGAATATCGATCAGAAACGAGGTCCCCCCGCCCGGAAGCAGCCTACCCCCGGAGGCTTCGAGGAGAAGTTCCTGCGGCTGGCGCCGCACCTGCGGAAGTGAGCCGCGAGCCGATGCGGCGCCGTGCCGTCGGCGCGCTCGCCCATGGGGCGCATTCCTCCGCTGGCGGGGCATCGGGCTTGGAGGCTTGTCGCGGCGCGCGCCTGGTGGCGAGGCGGGAGCGGCCATCTCGAGAAAAGATCGAAGGAGAAGCAACAGTAGTTACAGGCGGCCCGGATTAGTAGGTCGACCTTGCCAACTCAAGGGTACCTTTGTGTCCTGTGCCTCGCGACACGTGCCTTCTCACACTCCTATGGCGATGTGGCCCTCGGAAGGGTCTTGTGTCCTCTCGCGTGTCCTGTCCAATCAATGCCGACTGTATGCACTTCCGACGGTTCGTGAGGATTTCTTGGATCTGCGCTGGGGTTCCCTGGCGTCGCCGCTTCTGGCGCACTCCGCGCGCCAGGGAGGGGGGTCCGAGTCCAGCGCAGATGCGAGATTGTAGAGGCCTCCAGCCGGTGCTGCCGATCCGGGACGATCCCGCTGTCAGAAGGACGCTTTCGCCCCAGCGCGCTTGTTCAAACGTAAGTGGTTTGGAAACAGCTTGGAGGCATTGCGTGGGCTTCTTGAGGGGCCTCTACGACGCATCTTCGAGGCCTCCCCGGGGGCGTCTTGGAGGTGATTGTTGAGCCTCTTGGGGGCCTTTTGGCTTCTTGGGGGCATGCAGGAGGCATCCTGGAGGCCTCCTGGGGGTGTGTAGGAGGTAATATTTAAGTCTTCGGGAGCGCTTTTGGGCGCCTTTTGGGGGCCTCTTGAGGGCCACTTGGAACCTCTCGGGGTTTCTTGGGGACTCCTAGGGCCATTTTGGTGCCTCCTGGGCGCCTCTTGGGCCCGTCCTGGGGCCCGCTTGGGCTGTCTTGGGGGCCTCCCGAGCCGTCTTGGGCCCTTCTTGGGCCGACTTGGGGCCCTCTTGAGAGCCTCTGTGCCTGTTTTGGGGGTCTCTTGAGCCGTGTTGGACACTGCGACGGCCGAAGAAGCGAAAGTGCAAAACAAACAACGTTTTCCTAAGGGAATGGGGCAGATTTTCCGTCTTTGGGCACTCTTAGGAGGTGTCGGGGAGGGTACGTTGGAGGCTTCTGGAGCCGTCTGAGGATCAAATTGAATGTCTTGGAGCGATGTTTCGGCCACTCAGGGCCCTCTTGGGCCGTCTGGGCGGCCGCTGAGTTTTTATATGAGCCCGCGTTCGAGCTCTCCAGGGCGAGGGCGCGCCAGGGACGGGGGTCCGGGTCCAGCGCAGATGCGAGATATTCGCACGGGCCGTCGAAAGTTTAGGTTTCTGTTGTCTTCTTCCTCCAAGAGGGGGGCTCCGGGCCAGGGCCCCGGGTGGCGCCCTCGGGCCCCAAGGGGCGGGGGGCCCCAGGCGGTGCGGCGACCATGCCGCGTGGGCAGTCCGGGGGGGTCACCTATCAAGCGACGTGAAAGGCTTCAAGCGGTCTGTGCGCGATGTGTGTTTGTGATTGCCATTATCTTTCCCTGCTAAACCCTCTGATGCGCTTAGTTTGTCATGTTGCGTGTCCTCCTCTCCTTGAGTCAAGAGTCTTCCTCATTGCTTTCCTCGTTTCCTCCGTGATACCAACCCCGATGAGGTATCCTTTGTCTTCCACATCTTTCTCCACTCCCAGAGTGCGCTTTCGCATTTCCCTTCACGTCGCTCGCCCTTTCTGGTCTCTTCTTTCCTTACTCCATGGTCCCTCGTGTGTTCGAATTTGTTGGTGATCATCGCTGCGCTCTCTGTCGCTGACCCCCCGTGCTGAGCCATCTTGTGGCTAAATTGTAGCGGCTTGCTTTGGGGCCATTATGGGGTTTCTCTTAGGGCATCTTGGCGCAATTTTACGGGCCATTAGTTCAGGGACTGTCTTGGAACTTCTGGGGCCTATCCTGCGGGGCCTTGTTGGGCTATCCTGGGCGAAATGGGTGACATCTTGGGGCCTTTGGGGGCCGCTGGGCATTGTCGGGGGCTATGGGGAACGTCTTGAAGCGATCTTTGGACGTCTTGGGAGCAACACATGGGACAGGCGCAACACACTGAAGGCACAGTGGAATTTCAATGTGTGCTGCATTCTCCTCGTGGGCTATCTTGGAGAGATATTGGGGCCATCTTCGGCCGTTTTAGGCTCTTGAAGCCCTCTTCGGAGCCTCCTGAAGCCACCCTCGAGGCCTCTTGGGCCCTACTGGCCGCGCGGTGGCGCCCAATGAGAATCCCCGGGTAACCTCTCCCGCCCGGGTGTTCTTTTTTGAGCGGGTGGGCCTTCAGTAGACGGTGTGAATTTGGCGCGACCCAAATCAGGGGACAGGTTGCTATCGCATGGGCGCATTGTATGGCGCTGCTTTGCGTTGTTCGGCATTGCTTGGCATTGTTTGTTGTTGTTCGAGATTGCCCGGCGTTGCTTGGCGTTCTCCGGCATTGCCTGGCATTGTTTGCCGTTGTTCTGGATTGCCTGGCGACTGCTTTGCGTTGTTCGGCATTGCCTGGCATTGTTTCATGTTGTTTTGGATTGCCTGGCGTTGCTTGGCGTTGCTTGGCATTGCTTGGCTTTGCCTTGCTGTTGCTTACTATTGCTTGGCCTGCTTGGCGCTGCTTGGCGCTGCATGGAAACAAGACCGAGTAACCCCATGACGGTCATTGTAACGAAACAAATCCAAGTAACCCCAGGAAGCGCCACAGAAAAGAACCAAGACCAAACCATTGCAAGGGAACACGACAAGCTCAGATAACGCGTCTTCAAGGAAACAAGACCAAGCAACCCTGGGCAATCGATGACCGATTGCGTCCAGTACAAAACGGTTTCTTCCATTACAGCCTAATGGGCGAACACAGCAGGCAACCCTGGCAATTGGGCAACGCTTTCTAAGGGGACCCTGGCGACGACAGTATCCGGCACCCACCAGTTCTTTCCAATCAAATATGAATGTGTGTGGCAGGTTCTGCTTGGGGGGGGAGTAAATATCACGGCCAAGACCAAGGAACCCAAACCAACGGAACCAACAAGGAACCCACAAGGAACCCGCAGGGAACTAATGTGAGGGAACCCACAAAGAACCAAGACCAAGGAACCATGGAACCAAGACCAACCCACCAAGAAGTTAGTTCAAACCAGCCAATATCAATTCCGAGGAACCAAGACCTTGGAACCAAGGAACCAAGACCAAGGAACTAAGACCAATGAAACGAGGAACCAAGGCCAAAGAACCAAGGACAGGGAACCAGTGAACCATGGCTAAGGAACTAAGACACCAAGATCGACGAACTGCGAAACTACGACCAAAGAATCCACGAACCAAAATCAAGGAACCAAGGCGTCAAGGCCGAGGAACCAAGTGAAACCGGGCAACGCTTTGAAGTGACCAAGACAGGGACTCCACCAATATCTCTTATTACGGAAACAAGGCCAAGGAACCACGAGGAACCTTGTGACGACCGCGCCTCGCTCACACCAGTTCTTCAAAAACAAGTAAGGCAAACGTGGAGAAGGGGTTTGGGAGGCAAGAGACAACAGTTTTAAGGTGGCACACATAAGACAATACAGCAGTATGATACCAGAGGAAAAACCCAATCAGATTTTTTGAATCTTCCAATTGCTCCCTTTGTAATCGGGCTATAGGGCGGGCTATAGGGCTATGAGGCTATCGGGCTATAGGGCTATAGGGCTATCGGGCTATAGGGCTACAGGGCTATCGGGCTATAGGGCTATAGGGCTATAGGACTGTGACCTATAGGGCCAGAGGGCTATAGGGCTATGGGGCTGTAGAGCTATATGGGCTATGTGGCTATAGGGATATATACATATATGGGAGATCCCGGGCCCCGGGCCCCGGGCCGGAACCTCCCTTGTATATAGGGTGCGGCCCTCTCCCGGGGCGCCCTTCCGGCGGCCCCCGCGCGTTCCAGCCCGCCCAAGAGGGCTCCAGGAGCGCCGAGAGAACCCCAGGATCGCTTCAAGACCGCCAAAGATCGCTTCCAGAAGGGTCAAGAGGCGCTCAAACCGCCCCAAGAGGCCTTCAAGAGGCCCCCCACGAGCGCCCCGGGAGACCAAAATAGCCCCATTCCCTTCGTAAAACGTACATTTTTACGATATCAGCTCCCTTAGCTGTCGGAGCGGCCAGAAAGCCCCACGAGGCGCCCAAGGACGCTCCAGGACGACTGAGGACAGCCCCAAGACGGCCCAGGAGGGCCTCCCGGGACGCTCCTCCGGCGGCCCCCGGGCTGCCCAGTCCGCCCAAGAAGGCTCCAAGAGCGCCGAGAGAACCCCAGGATCGCTTCAAGACCGCAAAAGATCGCTTCCAGAAGGGCCAAGAGGCCATCAAACCGCCCCAAGAGGCCTCCAAGAGGCCCCCCAAGAGCGCCCCGGGAGACCAAAATGGCCCCATTCCCTTCGTAAAACGTACATTTTTAGGATATCAGCTCCCTTGGCTGTCGGAGCGGTCCGAAAGCCCCACGAGGCGCCCTAGGATAGCCCGAAGACAGCCCAGGAAGGCCTCCCGGGACGCTCCTCGGGCGGCCCCCGGGCCTCCCAGTCCGCCAAAGAAGGCTCCAAGAGCGCCGAGAGAAGCCCAGGATCGCTTCAAGACCGCCAAAGATCGCTTCCAGAAGGGACAAGAGGCCATCAAACCGCCCCAAGAGGCCTCCAAGAGGCCCCCCAAGAGCGCCCCGGGAAACCAAAATGGCCCCATTCCCTTCGTAAAACGTACATTTTTAGGATATCTCATCCCTTGGCTGTCCGAGTTGTCAGACAGCCCCAGGAGGCGCCCAAGGACGCCCCAGGACGCCTGAGGACAGCGCTAAGAGGGCCTAGGAGGGCTTCCTGGGACGCTCCTCGGGCGGCCCCCGGGCCTCCCAGTCCGCCCAAGATGGCCCAAGAGACTTCCCGGTCGCCCCGAGAGGGCCCCCGGAGCGCTCCGATACGGCCCAACATGGCCTCCAGAAGGGCCACGAGGCCGTCAAGACGCCCCAAGAAGGCTCCAAGAGGCCTTCCAAAAGGGCCCCGGAATCGCCACGGAATCGGACCCGTGCTTGCGAACACCGTTTTCGGAGCAAACTAGAACCTAAGCGCGCGCGAAGCGCGCGCGTGGTTCTAGTAGGGATATAAGGATATTAGGGCTATAGGGCTACTGGGCTATAGGGCTACAGGGCTATAG